ATTTTGTTCCTATTTTTCCATTTTCTCATCTTAATCCCATTCCCTTCTACCCTTTCCCCTAGCCCTCCCACTTCCTTCCCCTTTGCCCCTTTTCTTCCTATTTCTTTCACATTACCTATTATACATTCTAGTCCTTATTTACACTTTCAGTTTCTCACACCAGAGAAGCTATTTGGAATTTACAAACTCCCAATGATGAATGTGCTCATAACGTATATCTAAAACATAAGAAAAAACTTCATGAATTTTTTTTAAATTCCTATTTTTTCTCCTGTATTCACTACCACCCAGGATTCTGTCCCCAGCAACCTCCCTGCCACCAAAAACTAAAAATAAAAAGACAATATGATCAATAAATAGATTATTGATCAGGAAAAAAAATTGTTTATAGCAAAGGGCTCAGAAGCCCAGGATTCCCAGAGTGTGGTCTCCACAGAAGGAAGAGGACGAGGAGCTGGGTGTTGCTGTCAGTGCTCCAGCTCTCCCACTGCAGTCAATGCTGATGAATTATTAATAGGTAGATGATTAGTCTGGTCTGATAGCGGAGCCCTGCAATCCTGGCCACTCTCAGGGCTGAGACAGGTGAACTGTAAATTCAGGGCTAACTTAGGCAATTTATCAATAGCCTATCTCCAAATGTAAAGGGGTTGGGTATGTAGCTCAGGGCAGAGGGCAAAGGTTCCATCTCCACTACTGCAAATAAACACACAATAAAAGTAGATCCTGAAACCTGAAACCATGTGTGCAAAGCAGTGGCACAGAGCCTAGTAATTGCTGGATTCTGTTTGTGATTGATAAGACCTCCTCTGAAATTGATCAACTATAATAAAAAAATTTCATACTGAATATTTACCATGCAATGAAGGAGCCTGATTCTATTCTATTAATGAATTTGTTATTCTTTAAATTTATTATTAGAATTTACTATTGGAATTTTGTATTAGTATTTACTATTAGAAGTTTTTATTCTATCAATGAAGAAATCAAGATTTTCCCCCATTTTTATTAGTATTTCATTTTGGAGACATGGACTCCTTATTTAGTTCAGGCTGGCTTCAAACTCAAGGGGATCCTCCTGCCTCAGCTTTCCAAGTGCTGGGATTGCAGACATACAGCACCACACTCAGCCTTATTAGTATACTTCTGATACATAATAAATGCATTCATCATGGGGAACTGGTGCATGACACATCACATCTTGACCCTGTTTACTTCCCCTTCCTCTCCTCTCCATGATAAGCACTCCTCACTGCCTTTGTTTTCTCCCCTTTCCTCCTGTTTGTCCTCAAATTGGCTTAGGCCAGTCTTCGTTTTGCTTGCTGGCAGAGGCAAAGTCTTTTGGAGTGGTGATTCTGCCCTTTTTCTCTCTCTTCTAGGCAGATATCCAGGATGGGGCAGAGGAGAGTGAAATCTACACCTGCTGCTCACATCCTGACAATTCTGTTTGCCCTTTCACACACCCATTCCCAAAGACAGTGCCCCACACAGTTCCATCAGAGGCAGACAGCTATGGCAATCTGACCTCCGTCCACCAGAAGCCAGGATCACATCCTTTACACACTGATCTTCCCCACCCACCCTCAGCCAGAAAGGAGACTTTGCTCTTCCAGCCCACACTGGGCCCTGTCCCTTTGTGTCTCACCTGCAGGATGGATGTGAGCAGGCCTTTTCTGTTCATCTGCAGAAGGTTCCCCAGGAACGGCAGAGGATGGGGGCCTGGTGGGAGGTGGCCACGGGCCTTTGGGTGGCCCCTGAACAGGAGAACCAAGAGACCCATGAGGAGAGTGAGGGGCAAGAGGATGCTGAGCTCCATGTTCCTGTTCACCCCTCTGCAACCTGGAGCTAAACCTTTTATCCTCAGCCTGTGTCCTCGCCCAGTTATGCAACTGCATCCAAGCCCCGCCTCCTCTCTTGTAGTTTTCCAGGAGTGTGATCTTAGAAGAGAGTTACCAGGCACCCATAATTCCTGTTAGGGCAGCCTGGTAACCTGATCACTCCCAGCCCTTTAGGCCCTCCTTAGACATTGGCAGTAATGCTGTGAAAGAGATGCCATGGTGCACAGGAGTGTGTGTCTGTGTGCTCAGTGCTTGTGTCCTCAATATTGTGAGTGTGCATTTGTCTCCTTAGTTTGGTCTGTGCAGGCCCTCTTGAGGCTGTGTATACCTGTATATTTTTTATGTGTGAGGGGCTATTTTATGTCAGTGTGAATGTGCTGTTCTCTATTTCCTTGTGTCAGTCCAGGTGTGCTCCGGTGTACATTCTTGCATGTGTGGGAGCATGTGTGTACTGATTTACTTTCACATGTGAAGGTGTGTTTGCATTTGAGTAGTGGAGCTAGTAGGGATCTCCACAACTCTTGGTGAGCCTGCTTGCACTGGCTGCACTTTTGCTGGTGTATGTGTGCATCTCCCAGCCAGTCTCTGTAAGGTCTGCAGAAGTCCAGTGTCCACCTCTCCAGTGTCTCCCTCACTCTGTTCTGTGACAGCCACAGGTAGGAGT